CCAATCAGCTATTTTAATTGGGTCCTGGTCTTTCGTGAAAGTTCTAACAAAGGCATAAATTTTACGGGCGATTACCTTCATTTTGCCTCGCTTAATGAATAAACTCTCTCTGAACTTATTTCTTTACCATTGAATGCGTCTTTCATCACAGCTGGAGTATATCAAGGAATCTGCGTTCAAACCAATTCAATCAACTTATTTTAACTCAGGATCATCACATCGACATGTATAACGGATCAGAAACAACACCAGGGTTTTATCTTCTTGTAAGGGTGAGTGAACTTTCGATGATCAATTAAATTACAAGAAATATGTAAGCTAGTAAAACAAATATAGAACTGAATACTTATCACGTAATGAGCACACGAATGCAACTATTTGTTTTAAATACCTCTCAAACCTTTAACTATTAGTTTTCGACGAGCCAGAAGTAGGTCCGAAAGAGTAGATAGCAATTAAGTTATTTCAGAACTTATGAAGTAGCTTTGTACTTTCTAGTAATAAATTTGTCACATGTACGCCAAAACATGCTCGAATCAAATGGAAACAAACATTGATCGTACATTTCAAACGTGTCGATTACCAGTAAAAATCCGTTTCGAGTTTGTCTCGCTGCATAAAACCCTGAGTCCTTTCGAGTGACACAATGGATCGAAATTAACGTAATCTTTTCATTAATTACTGTCAAAAATGCCCCATGTAAGATAGAATCACTTCAGCAAAATGGTATCAAAGTAATAGGGATACATACATGGTTGATTGCAAAAAATCCTATCGATAAAACCAATTTCGGCAAAAAGTTTTTCAATCAGATTGAAAAATTGTCTCTTTAAATTAGTGCATTTTGACAACTGATGCGATCAGCCAGGACCTCGTGGGAAATTTATCCATCTGAGTGCGCTATATTGTTTCTGTGCACGTATAGTCCAAGATGACGTCAATATAAGCAATCTCTGGAAATAAAACATCATGCCCACGCTAAATACGGTATTAATTAAACACAAAATAACAATCGCTATAAACACTTCACGTTAATATCGCCAGTCTTTTCTAGATAAAGCTTGAGTGATCATGAACTAACTCGGTGTAGAAATTCTCATCGAGACTATTGAAGGAGTCATAACAACTCTTAGATTGAAAATATCCCAGAACTCGCCGCCATTGAAGATTGGCATGGATATCTGCTTCAAACATACAGCCATGTGGGCAGATCCCTAACAGCGAAACGAAAAGGTGATAAATCAATGATAGAAATTTTCAGGACAATGATAATTATTTGTATAAGCCGCAACTGTAAGTCATCGGGGTAGTGTATTTTTGCAAAGCTAACGGAATACTCGTCACTGGCCACAATCTTATATTTTCAAATCATGGGAGGGTTTAAGAGAATAATCCCTTTTAACCATGGGCGGTGGGGTAATCATCACAAGGTTCTCACTTCTTTCCTTTTCGCAGTCAGACATACTTTGAGAGGCAAATGTGTCCAAACATCTGCTCACTTCAAGGAGCGCTGTGCACCTCATGCATCAATGCATTTCATTTTGTAGCGCAGCAAAGATTTCACCTCAGATACCTATTCATTTCCAGGCTGCTGCGGACGAATCTTCCGTTGCGGCTTGTCCGCTGACCCACCAGGTTCGAATGATCTGCAAGCTGAAGAACATCGAGCCATTAATCATGCCCTTCAACATCCAAAAGAAGTCCAAGGAGTTTCTTGAAATCAATTCTACTGGGAAAGTCCCTGTTCTTGTTCATCAGCTTAATCCAGACGAGGCCTTGGTTCTTGATGATCCTCTACTCATCGCCAAGTATCTGGAAGAAAGGTTCCCGAACCCGCCTATCAGAAGTAACAACAGAGAGGCTATTGTCGCTGGTAGCAATATCTTCCAAAAATTTTGCGCCCTCATCAAAAATAATGACCCCGCAAAAGATCCCGGTCTTCAAACAGCCCTGCTGAAGAAATTGGAGGAGTTGAATTCCTTTCTGCTGGGCAGTGATAGTTCTTTTATGGAAAGTGATTCTTTGAGATTCTCCGACTGTAGCTTGTTACCCAAGCTCCTCCTCGTTCGCGTGGCTGCTAAAGAATTGAAGGGCCTGGAGATACCAGGGAAGTTCGAAGGAGTCTGGGACTATATTCATGCTGGCGAGAAACAAGTGGTGTTCCGGGACACGTGCCCGTCAGATGAGCTAATCAAAGAGCATTGGTCCAGGAAGTTTGCAACTGTGCCTTTGTTAGAGGGCTACGAAAGAAAACTTTAGAGTGTTAGCGGCTAGATAACACAAGTTAAGTGCGGAACGAACATTTTAAGATAATGCTTCAAGAAGAACAACCGAGTCGCGTCTTCTATGAGGCTTGATAGACTTGATACCAGTACAATAAATTGGACTTACTTATCTTCATGGCATGCTCCCTCGTTTCCAAGCTTCCTCTCTATATCTTACGCGAAGAGATTCCTACGAACAAAGTCATAAAGTATCGTGGAGCTATAATAGTGATCCTCTGTAGATTCGCTTTGATTAATTATCTTAACACACGGCTCTGCGCTGAAACACAAAGACTACCGCGATAACGGTTATTCTATCGAAGGAAAATCATAATTGGCTTCACTGATAAGCTTAAAAATATTCCTAAATTGCTCTATTACTTCTTTTATAAAAAAATCGACATCGAGCTTTGGCAGTTCAAAACAATTGGTCCCTTTATTGAAATTTCAAAGTGTTCGTATAATCGCTCGTTGTTTATGCGCCATTAGCCTTGCGTAACAGCCGCTCTGCTAATTACACAATCTTAACCGCTAAATAGGATAATAAGTGTGAGCTTCAAATATATGGACGTGTCTATCATCTACGCCACTCCTAAATTGCTTCGTCGATCGAGAGACCTGAAGGAGAAGATCGAAGAATGACTGTAAATAGCTCTTCAGTTGTCTAGGTACACAGTGCTGCTGCTCAAATTTGCTTGATTTACACGTAAAAATATTTTTGGTCTTGATAACTACACTGAACGTAAAATGTGGATTTGCATTTTCGTAACACAGGTCTTAAAATAAGTCGTTTCCAAATATAGCTTGTTCTGCTGTGCATAAGGCCGGTTGTCTGCTTTTCTTTCTTAATTAGCGATCACTTAAACCAACGCATTTAAGAGGGGATTTAATGTCGTTAGCTCACTACCAGCTCACTCAACATTAGTGCCTTCCCTGGTGCGTTGTGGTCGTTTTTGTTATCCATTCTGATGACATGGCCACAACTGCAAAGGCAACTTCATTACTGGTATTATTTCAATGCTCTTTTACCTGTAAGAATTACTTCACTTTTGGCTTGTTCACTATGGTATATAGATGTTGTTGTTTGTTTCAGTTGTGACTAGGCCAGAAACAACTTATCAATGAAGTGAATGATTCAGAACTTTAAATGACTTAAACTTTAGTTCCTTCGGAAACATGGAGAATTAAGACTTTTCTTCGCTGTTCGTTTAAAATACCAAAATGGTAAGATTTACCAGACCTCCAGGGGCCATATCGGAATCAGAAAGAGCCTTAGGGTTTTCGTTCGTAGATTCCTCGTATAACATCTGGAAACGAGTGGCTCTGGGAGCGAAAGTTAAAAAAAAATATATGGTGTCGTAGTGTTAAATGGTCAAAGTTCCAGAAAACTTCTTCCGATTTTCTTCTGTGATAACGTTTCAAAGTTCATTTTCGTATGGGTCATCGGCTCTAAAAAGTTTCGTTGTGAGAATCGTTATTGTTTTGGAATTTTTTTCTTGGGCGTAGAAAATTTCTTTCAATTGACAATTTTTCTCTTCCTCTCCCCCCTTAGTATTCTTTTTATATTCACACGCGGCGCGCGTGATTTCACAAATTAGCCGATACGTCAAAGAACTCTAACCTTGACATTGGGAAACTGACGTGGACATTTTTCGCGTACTTTTATTTTGTTTTTCGTTAGTTAGTTGTTTTTGAGCTTTCATTCGCGTGAATCTGTTACTCCTTTGTTTGAAATTTTAAGAAGCTTAAGGGTTCTTTATTTGAGTCAAATATTGTGGTTCATTCAACAAGTTTAATACACATTTTCTACGGAGTTTGGACTCTAACCTCATTTTTCGTAAATGGATTTTTTTTCATTGGGGATGTGGAGCTGTTAAAATTACGATTCGACGAGCTCTACTAAGTAAAAAAAAATAGAAATACAGAGATAAATCTCTCTGCCATGCTTACTACATATGACGTATATTATGACGTCATAATGGCTAAAGTATCACTCTTCAAGTCTGCCTCATAAATTAGAATCCCCACGTACTCCTCCCAGAAAATAAATACAGGACGGCGAGGTAGGCCTGGGTACGCGAATGGGTGCGCCATGAAATCAAATAGTTACTATCCTCATCGGTGGAGTTGAGCAGTTGTGTTGGTTGCGAGACTTCTGTACGCTCTATTTTGCTGTTTGTTTCCGAAATGGCTGATCAGGGGGATATAACGCTGTATGTGAAGGTACTGCACATCTTCTGGAGTGTATATTTTGAGTTTTTTGGTGATGGCTTGTTCACTGATCATTTCGTTTGTCGTCCAACAGGCCTCGACCATCAATGATTCAGAGTTCGGAGCGGACGTTTTTGCTCAGAGGTTCATGATGATGTTTGTCTTGAAAGATGTGCGGGTCAACATCCGCCTCGTGGATGCGATTAAGAGTAGAAACATGAAAAAATTACCAGCTTTGAAGCTATTTGAAAACGACCCTGTGGAGGATCCCGCGGAAATCGAGGCCTTGATCGAAAAAATCTCTCCCGATCATCCATTGCGAAGCGCGAACGACGAAGTAAACCATCTTGTGTTTAAAGGTGCTGGTAGTGGAGTTTACCACAAGTTCAATCAGCTGGCGAAGAACACAGACCCAAACACAGATGAAAGGCTTAAAGCGAATCTTATAGAGGAACTTGCAGCGCTCGATACCTTTCTTCGTTCGAAAAAGCCCCAGAGATTTCTCGGTGGCGAAAATTTATGTCTTCCCGACTGTATCTTGCTTCCCAAATTGTTGCACATCAAAGTGGTGGCCAAAGTCTTCAAAGATTTTGATATTCCCGAAGATTTCGAAGGCATTCATAAGTACTTGGATGCAGCTAGTGGCAAAGAAGGAGAAACTCCAGATATCAATGTCGAAGCGTTCACAAGAACCTCGCCATCAGATGAAGTGATAGTAGATGCCTGGTCTCGATGGATGAAGGTTCCCAATCCTCTACAGAGGCGAAAGAAGCCTTGATGATCATCGATTTTTGCAGAGACAGCGGTAATAAATGTAGTCTTAAAAGAACTGGGAATTAGGTCTGTATTAACCATAATTTGTGTGGATTTTTTCCGGTTTTTGTGAGCCAGTAGCTTTGTAAACGGCATACAAAAGAACAGTGTGTGTACACGTGTTTTATTACGAGTTTGATATTTACATCAACGTATTAGTGATTTGAATTCTAAGCGAATGCAGATTTAGAGTCCCGAATTTTCCTCTTGCAGTCTATTCTAGATTTTTGCTCTGGGGAATGATTACATTTATTTTATTTTTTTCTATCGTAATATTCAAATCGTTGAGTTTTCAATTCCTATAAAAATGTAGCTTTCTTTCATTCGTGCGTTTGTACAAGACACATATTTGTTGTTTGTACTGCGGTGTTCCGGCGAGCCTCTCCCGCCGTAATTTTTAAGCCCTTTCGTCTCGGGCGAATTGCGATCGTCAATGAACAGGGATGGACACGCGAGCCTGTGTTTTTTTCTTCGTTGCTAAGGCAAAATCCTTCTAGAATGAGGTTGAACGTGTACTGTAGTGTGTCATATTCGAAATACCTCGCATATTGAGGCAAGTTTACTGTTTATTTTACTAATTTACCTGTGATTCTTGTTTCTAAATTATTGCTTCGACGCCAAAATTTTTACTATCACTCCCTCGGAAGGATTAGGCATGAACGGGATTCTTCGGGTGAGGCGTCATGGCTCCATTGTTATCATTGTTTTTTTCGATTTATCAATATGATCTGGCTCATATGGTTGGATGTTTTCATGTCACGGCAGGCGAGCAATGCCTTGCTAAATATTGTTTGCGATATTATGTCTTCGCTGTCAGATTTTCTTTGTGATTTCCCTGTAATCAAATACTGCTGCATGGGTAACAATTGTGACAGAAGAATACCGATGTGGCGGCTCACCAACAATTGTTTTCATTTTTGTTAGGGCTTGTGCTGCTATTAATATTTCTAAGCTATCTTGAGCGTAAGTTACAACAAAGATGGGTCAGCTAAACTTCAATAAATTTTTTGGGGATTTAATGAGGGCAGTTTGTTTGCTGTCTAAAGGCAATCACTAACTATTGGCTCCCAGTGAGAGACAGCTGGTATTATTACAATCTGGTTGCCACAGTTGCATGACCTAACATATTGGAATGTTACCCTGGGTTTGTTTAAACTTGTATTTGTGTCCCTTGTCATGCTCTTATTCTGTGCACCATTTAGCACTGTTTACATAAGCACAGAAACAAAAGAACCATTATCTTCAAAACCCAGGGTGAGTGCATGATGGAGAGAATTTAATTTTCCTGTGAAAGTAAACTGCTTTGTGATGTTCTAAATCATATTATATATTTACCTTGTAAACTCACAAATTTATGATTCTAGAAGACATTAGATAGGATAGACCAGAAGACTGAGATAATTGATTTCAAATGAAATTTTGAGAATATTTTATAACTCTTGCCCAAAAACTGCAGACCAAGAATGGTTTATAATGCAATAAAATTAAATCTTTCACTGATTGTGTAAATATTTTTGCCAAATACATGTGCACTATTGATCAAGAATGAAGTTAAGATACCAGTAGTAAGAATATTTTGTGTTTTTATGAAGTTATACTTGAATAACAGAGTTCCCAAAAATGGCAATATGCACAACCTAACTCGCAGAAAAAGTTTACTGCCATAATCTTACATAGTAATGCCTACCCTTAAAATGAGGTACTTTTTACAATTTATTTGTGGTTAGGGAAGAAGATATTGGGAGGCAATTGCATCAACCTGACCCTCAACATGAAAGCAAGGCTCTGTCCTTAAATGGCTTCTTAAACTGTCTATTATCAACCAAATCTGAGTTAAATAGTTGTACATGAGAGTACTTGCTAAGAAATTTTAAAAGCAGTCTAAAAATGGTTATCTCGTCGTCAGGTGACTTATCACTTGACAGGAATTCTGTCTTTGATATCTTGATATTGAATGTAAACAAGATCAACAGTCAGCTTTTCACAACTGGTAATTACCAGGAGTTTCAAGAAACAGGTCCCAGTTATAGGAATGCATCCCTGGGAGAACAAGCCCATAAAAATAATTTTGAGATGCGAGCCCATCCTGTGCAAACATGGTCTAGAATTTTAGATAACAGGATGTACCAGATACCAAGAGCCGAATATAGATACATGCCTCTGTACAAATATTGTTTAACTGTAGGTTAATATCTTTGATAGTTTAAAACAGCTTCTCATATTAAATGACTTGATGCTGAATTGTATTTCCAAGTGGGCATAATGAAGCAAATCCTGTGTCAGTTGTCAATTCTGACTGGATACCAGAGAGAGAGAGAGAATGTGCTGTTTGTAGGTATCTCCCGACTTTTGAGAAAGCACACTTAATTTTGTTCCCTCAAAAAATACAAAGGTCAAATTTAAAAGTAGTTGTAACTGAAAGAAAAAAGCTCAAACTTAAAAGTATTAATTAGCTGAAAGAAAAGTATTGCATGGAGCAGGCTATGTTCATTAACCCTCTAATGACAAAGCTTCCCTGACCAAGATGGATGGATATTTACCTCTTTCTTTTTATTTGTTTTGTTTGTTTCTCTAAACCTAAAAATGACATATTTAACCCTTCTTACAAATATGGCCAGACCCAAGGCAAGCACAATCTGGCTTCACAGCTCTGTTTTCAGAGAGCCCTTTAATGCCTTAGGTCACAAACAACTGCCCACTTCTGCTCCACTACTTTTAACCTTTCTAATGCCAAGAAGATGGGATAAACAACTAATTTTCTGGGAAATGATTTTTCACTGTTCACTGAAGGTGGATTGAGTGCCAGATTCTTCTTGGGTTTTACTGAAAGGAATAATTAGTTACAGGACAGTAGGCCACCAATTTTCTAGTTTTCATCATTAGCATATCTGGTATTGTCAGGGTAATTGCATTTTTTTTTTCATCTTGTGTAGTGCACATCTGTTTTATAATCATCTGTTTTTATAATCATATAAAACCGGTTGTTCTCCTTCTCAAGTTTTTGAGAAGGAGAGAAAAGTATGTGTTTCTCCAGCAACCTAGGTGGGCTATCACCGCAGTAAACCAATGCAAAGGACAGCCTAATGCATTAAAATAGCCACAAGTTTACTAGTACAAAAACAAGATTGGTTTTTGACCAGTCAGAAGGTGGGTAAGATCTCATCAATTTCATAAAACATTCAAATCCTCAGCTAAACAACTCAGCAATCCTGGGACATAAATCCAAATCTCGAAATCTGGTCAAATCTCGACTTAGATAAGTCATACAGGTCTACTACGAAAACTAGCCTTTCGATCTAAGAAAAACCAACATTCCCACTCCTTTTGACTTACTGTGTATATTTCAATCTGAGAGTCGATGTCTTTCACGGAAGTGTTCCACGACCAGCGGTTTCAATACTTTTCGGCATACGTGGCAACACCGATTCACTCCTGACTGGGCAGGGGATGTTTAATTTTCAATAAAAATGAATACTTTTTCAGCCTTAAAATACACGATATTTCTTTAGTGTGAGAAATTAACTACTGGACATAATTAAATAAGTTCAAGTGACAATAAAACTACGAAACGACAATATTTGAGGACATTTTTGGCATTAGCGTCAGATCTTTTGTTTTCGTCATTCCCCTCCCCTCCCCCCACCCTCAACCTCTGCTTCAAATGGAAATTTAATACTATTCCGATAGCATTAAGGGAAGGAAGAGCTAGCGTTTGTTAGTTGCGACAGTCTGGTGTGTCCTGATTTTTTTCTCTTTCCTTAAGATGGCCTTGAGCAGTGTTTTACGGCGAACGAGGATGCACGTTTTGGGATATCTGGTGATTGCAGTTTATTTAATACATTTAACAGGTATGTACGTATTCTGTCAAATCGACTTGTCCTCGTCACTGCTATAGACAACGTCTACTGCGTCGGTGAACTAAATTTGATTATCAGGAAATCTGGATTAAAATATTCGGACTATCTCTTTCAAATCATCACCATTTAAATTAGTTTTTTATGAACCATTAACATAGATTAGTCGGACCAATGGACCTCATAGTCCGAAACGAATCAATAATCGACAGCACGACCTGACTAACTACTGTACGAATTTTATGCTCGCTTCAACAAGAGGCTGTCGACATAAACCGATATACTCCATACAGCCTCAGTGATCGGAAAGATAAGGAAAATTTATTTGTACACTCAAAGTAGGCCTAATATCTGTTAATAATAATATATATTTCAGTGTAGCTTTCTTGAAACAGAGTATATGCATCTGTATCTATGTTGGAAGTTTCATGTTATTCAAATAACTTCTTGGAATCTACACTTGTTACTGGGGACCATTTTTTCCTCAAAGTGATGTTTAAACGAATAAAAATGATAATCTGAGCGTGAACAAAATCCTTAACAGATCTATTGAAATGCGAAAGGAAGTAGGTGAGTTTTCAATATTTTTAATCAGCACTAAGCGTCAGCAGTTAATGAATAATTCCAAAAATATTTGCAAGTGTCATTACCACGTCATTGGTGAACCAATCTCGTTTCACACCCGTTAAAAGTGATCCAACGTGACCAATAAAAATGTGAACAAATCTTAGGCATAATACAAATTTTCTGATTTGAATTTTTATCAATTATTATAATTTGTTTCTCAAGGATTTATAAATATATATATATATATATATGTATATTGACTGTATATATATATTGAGATAGGGAAAAAACAAAGAGACTATACTTTCATCTCTACAAACCTGTTTCATGGTTGCTCACTCATCAGGGGATTTTATTGTCAAGAATATTCATAACCATCGTTTCTACACTTAACAAATTTGCATTGCATTAGGCAGTAAATTTAAATGTATCATTCAGTTGTGCAGTTAGGCGTTGTTTCTGTGGCGGCACGAGGACACAAATTCATTACTAAAGGGGTTAAGTTTCTAAAGAAAATGTGGTGCTACATCAGTGGGAGAGTATAGCAGGTATTTTAGTGTTAACAACCAAGTTGAAAATCTTATCTGGCCACTGTAAAGAGTACAAAAGCTGACGTTTCGAGCATTAGCCCCTCATCAGAGTGATTGGCAGAGGGCTAACGCTCAAAAGGTCAGCTTTTTTACTCTTTACACTGGCCAATTTATGTTTTCAACTCAGTTGTTAACACTAAATTACCTACAAGTTCATTACGTTTATTGAATGATGATAGGTAATTTTTCTTTGAGTCAGAGGTTGCATCTTTTGCTAGCGCTGTTGAAGGGTGATCTTGATGAAAGGATGCA